TTTTTTTTTTTGTGTCATTTTATAGCTTAATATATATGACGATTTAGCGTAAGAAAATTAAAAATTTTTTTAAAATATTCAATCTTACTTTTACTTTTATTGAAATAAGTGCAAGTACGACTGATTATTTCAGCAAAAAAAATTAAATTAAATGTTCTTTTATTAAATCTTCAATGTTAATATTTCCAGTTGGTCCGAGCATAATGGCCTTTATGCACATGGTTCTGTTGTTCGTCATAAAGGACAACTTTACAAAGCTGTTTCTAACGTTGGTAGATTAGGTGTCGCAGCTGAACCTGGAGATTCGGATCATTCTCGTTTTTATGTGAGCTTACTTTGTTATTACAAAAAAAAAAAAAAACAAAAAAAGTGTATGATATAAGTTTTGAAATAACTTCCTCTTAGAAAAGCTAATTTTGTTGTGTTCTTAAAATAGAAGCTGTATGTAGAAAACTTGCGTGATAGGAACTTTGTTTAACTTTCGTCCATAATGAACTTTTAACTTTTATTTATAATGCAACCAACGATGATCAGATAGTTGCAATTACTAACGAATGAGTGTTTGAAATGATGCACATCAATATCTTCGAAATCATAAAACTATTCGAAATATTGTTGCCGAACCATATATAGGATGTAGTTATCAGTTATTTTACTATCAATTGATTAGCTATTTAAATTGAAATATAGATGAATGAACTTTTTGATTGTTTTTATATTCAGCGAATTGGTGGTGATCCGGTTACTTTGATCACTACAATGGCAATTTTTCAAGTTATTCTGATTGCTATCCAGTTTTGGATGTTGATACTGACGACAGATTGGCAACATATCGTTACGCTCGTACTACTGATATTTGCGAATTACCTCTTACTAGCAAAGGTTGCTTTGAAAACTTTTTTTTTCTTCGCCTACTTGAAAATTGTTTTTTTTTAACTATTGTAAATAAAGAATCAATAGTATCATTTAGATGATATCATCATTATTATTTAGTTACTTCCTGTGGTGTTCTTGTGATAGCTGGATTTGATGATACGAGAACTTCTAAGAACTAGTTGACATGATACATTATCAGACTGTCCTGTTTAATCCATCTTTAGTTTCACTGTCGAAAACTGGGATAGTCATTATCAGATGAATATATGGAATACACAGTGTATTACAGCTAACATTGAAGTTTGTGTAAATATGAAATATGTTTTATTCACGTTAGCTGTATTAAATTTCGAATTTCCGGCAATTCTGATTTTCCCTTCGCTACATTTCATGTTAACTGCCATCTGCCTATTAGAAATGCTCGTGTTTTTGTTTATTTAATTGGAAATTTTCAGACATTTAAAGATCGTGTAATTATTGGGAGGATTTATAAACCTTCTCCTGAAGATCTGCAATTAATTAAGCAAATGCAGCAATATGGATGAAAGAAAACATATCACGATGGTTTGATTTGATTCATTTATAAGTGTGATGAAGTTGAAAGTCTGTCTTCCTTGTTGTGTATTTAAGGATCTGTGATGATTTTTACGAGTTTGATTTTTTTTCAATTTATGCAATTTTAGTGTTAAAAGTGTTGTATATGGTATTTTTTTAGTATTTCTAATTTTCAGAATTAAATTTGAAAAAGAAGGTTGTGAAGTCTCTAAGGACTTTTCTATTCCTTATTTGTTAAATTTTTCAAATCTTAACTCAAGGAGTATTTTGATTTCATGAAGGAATTGAATAAATCTTTTATATGTGCAGTTTGTTTTGAATTAAATTTATGGATTTGTAAATATTTCCCATGTATTTTACTGCTATCTGAAAGCATATTGTTTCCATTTATTGTGTGACAGCTAAGTTATTAGCGGCTTTAAATCAGTATTTTTTGAGTGAATGAAAAGTGTTAGCAATCAACCATAGACATTAAGTTAATAAGATTTGGTAAATTAATTTCAAGACTATCACATCTGTAACAGATTCATCACACCCTTCGTTACTTATTATTTATTGAGAACGGATGATAGCTCTGGATTACTATCATAAACTGTGCCAATTAATTATCCTTGCGCTTGATTTGAGTATACTTAGCTGTTCGTTAGTAGCTATTACATTTCTTCTAGCAATAAGTGGACATTAAAAGTAAAGGTCAGGTTAGGCAAATAAGTGATTTTTCGGCAAGTAATTGAATAGAATTCAAGACAAGGGAAGTTCAAAGATGAGATATGGCGATAGGACTTTTAGGAATGGAAGTTTTACTATTCTTTATACTACAGCAGATAGGTATAAATGAGGAATTGTCATTTTCCGGTATAATTTATCCAGAGAGTCTTTTTTTTTCTTTTTTTTTCAAGGAAAAGGTGTATGGAAATGAAAAGTTAATCTGATCTCTTTTCAGATTTTGAAAACATGGGACAGTATCATTATATTACGCTTGCGGAATTACGTGAATTATCACATACTGCTGATGAAAATTTCAAGGTATGACGATACATATTTTCAATAATAATTACTATAAAAATAATCAAATAATCAATAGAAGAGTAGCAGAATGTTTATAAGTTCTAATCATTTTATCATTTATCAAAAAAGAATACGAAAAATTTTTAAATTTTCACTTTTAAATTTTCAAAAATTCTTTAATTTTTATACTTTTTGAAACAAAATTTGTGGTGTATTCAAAACGAGCAAGAATTGTTTGTTTATGCAATGGACCTGTAGTTGATTGTGAATATGTGTGATAATTGATTGTAACAAAATCTTTTATGCGTCCATGGAAAATAGGATAAGGTTATATTGATAAGGAGTAAAACTGCTTGCTAATTAAAATATAATTTCATTGCATGACATTCTTCTATATGTATGTATATATGTATGTGTCTATGTGTGTGTTTGTGTGTGTGTGTGTGTGTGTGTGTGTATGTGCGTATGTATGTATGTTTGTATGTATGTATATATGTATGTGTCTGTCTGATAAGAGATTCATTGTTTAAATGAATGTATAAATTAATATGTAAATAATCGAGCTGAAATTATATATTGAACAATACAACTATTTTTTGCAGGTTAATATATATGCATATGTAGCCCATTTAAAGATACGTTCACGATCGACAGATGTGTCAGAAGATGGTAAAGATGTTTATATTTTAGTTGTTTACTTTGAAATATGTGAAAGACATATAGTAGTAATGATTGTTTGCTATAATTATAATAATTCTGCAATTGAAAATTAATGAAGAATTTTAATTCGTTCAGCCCTTGTTATTACGCAGTTGGAGTTACGTGATGGTAGCTTGGATACTGATACAACTTGTATCATTTATAGTGAGCCATTGGAAAGTTTCTCGAGTCAAATACAGAGCGGTCAAATCATTCGAATGCATCGCGCAAAAGTGCTCTTTTTTCAGTAATTTATTCATTTTTTCAATTAATTTCTTGTATTTTGTAGTTTGACACTGTTTTAATTTTTTATTATTCCATAATTCTGTTATCATTTTTCGAGGCGGGGTTGATGAGACTTCGAGACACTTTATTTCATATTTTCATTTTTCGTCAATATTTTCTGAATTAAATAATCTGATAACTGATATCGTTGTCCAGTAATATCTCGAAATTGACCATTTCTCCATATTTATGCCATTGTAGACAGATATGTTGCACTAAATGAATGGTCTTGGTGACATTTTTGATATGAACCAGCTGTCATTGGAGGATTTTGTCACTGTCACTGCTTGTTATATCAAAATCTTTTTATCGATGCTTGTTTTTGAGATCAAAAGCTTTTTTTATTCAGAAGCTTTCAGATCAAAAGCTTTTTATTCAGATCAGAAAAATGACAAATGGAGAAATGTTCATTTATGGGAAGCTTAAAACGGTCGGTTTTGCTGTTCTTCTGTTTAGTGGTCGACTTGGCGATAGTTTTACCCCCATATACCAGTCTCGTATATTAAAGCCTCGCTGTTATGAGTTACCAAGTATGAACAATTTCAATGGTTATCAGGGCTGTGGTCATAATCGAATTATGATGGGATTTTAGAGTTGCTAAAAAAGATGCTTTAAATTATCTATTTTTTCCAGTGCTGTTATAGGCTTTATTGGTGTGATTATTTTTTCTTGTAAATTTT